GGCGAGGGACTCAGGGACTTCTTAGCTCGGTTCAAAAGGGTGAGAATGAGCTTGCCGAATATGTCAGAAGGAATGGCAGTAGCAGCCCCCTTCAAGTTGGAGGGTGCTACAACCGCCAACTTGAGCAACAAAGAATAATGAACAGCTCCAGTGAGTGGCTTTGTAAAAACGTCGGCGAGCTGAGAAGTGGTAGGGACATGATGCAAGGAGATTAGGCCATCACCAAGTTTATTCTGAATAAAATGACAGTCTAATTCAATGTGCTTCGTCAGCTCATGAAAAACAGGGTTCTTCGCAATATGAATGGCCGCTTGGTTGTCACAAAACACAGGTACAACAGAAGATATAGCAACACCAAAATCAGATAAAAGGCGAACAACCCAAGTCAACTCCGCAACTACCTTACTAAGAGCTCGGTACTCAGCCTCATCAGAAGAAAGGGAGACAACTGGTTGCTTCTTAGCCTTCCAACCAATGAGAGAATCCCCCAAAATAATGCAAAACCCAGTGACTGATCGCCGAGTGTCTGGGCAAGCAGCCCAGTCACTGTCACCGAAGGCAGACAAAGAAAGGGATGGAGAATTGCCATAGAACACTCCAACATCAGAAGTACCTTTGAGATAGCGAAGTAAATACAAAGCAGCCTTCATGTGGGAAGTACAAGGGGCCTGCAGGAACTGGTTGAGATGTTGGACAGCAAGCAGAGGTCAGGCCTCGTGTGAGTCAAAAAATTCAACTTTCCCACCAAGCTTCTATAAGTGTCAGGAGAAGGCAGAGGGTCACCCATGGGAGCCTTGAATTTAGAGTTCAAATCCAAAGGACAAGTCACAGGAGACACCATATCACAATTGTATTCATGAAGTAGATCTCTGATATACTTACTTTGATGTAGTAATAATCCAGAAGGAAGATATGCCACTTATATGCCAAGAAAGTAGTTAAGAACACCCAGATCCTTGATTTTGAACTGATTGTCCAAGAAGAGTTTCAAAGCATAGATTTCTTCCAAATCATCACCAGTAAGTATTATATCATCCACATAAATGGCAAGAAGTACAGTTGAACCACCTGATCTTCTAATGAAAAGGGATTAGTCATTCAAAGAATGGAAGTAACCCCTAGAACACAAAGCATGAGACAGCTTGGCATACCATTGCCTAGATGCTTGTCTCAAACCATACAAAGATTTTTTAAGGTGACAAACCAAATTAGAAGACTGACCAGATGAAGTAACACTCTCAACAGACAAACTAGGGGGCAATTTCATGTAGACCTCCTCATCCAAGTCTCCATGCAAAAATGCATTATTTACATCAAGTTGAAACATAGACCAATTCCTTTTTACAGCCACAACAATGAGACATTTAACAGTAGAAAATTTGATGACTGGGGAAAAAGTTTCAGTAAAATCTACACCCTCCACCTGTGTATCACCCCTAACAACCAACCTAGCCTTATATCTTTCTATAGACCCATCAGCCTTACATTTTATCTTATATACCCATTTACAACCTATGGGTTTCTTGCCAGGAGGTAACTCAACAATGGACCAAGTATCATTAGCCTCAAGAGCCTCAAATTCCTTTCTCATGGCCTCTTGCCAAGCTGGAATAGAAGCTGCCTGATGATAAGAGTGGGGTTCCAGGCCAGCAATGCTAACTGAACTTTGAGAACATAAGGGAGAAGAACTGGAGCCACATAGAGAAGGAGGCAAACTGCAAACATACTGTTGAAGATGACTAGGAGTAACATGATTTCTGGAGGATCTCCTAACAGGAGCTGGAGACAGACTAGGGGCAATAGGAGGAGCAGGAGGAGGTTCAAGGATAGGGGCAGAGTGAGGAACAGACACAGGAGAAAGAATAGGAGAAGAAGAGGGAGAAGCAATAGGTGTTGAGGATGAGACATGATCAGGTTCATGAGAAGAGGTGTAATGAAAGTCATCAGAAAAGAAAGGAACAGAAGAAGAAGGTGATGTAGTAGTAACAGATTAAGGAGAGACTGAGGCAAAAGGAAAGATACCCTCATGAAACACTACATCTCTAGAGATAAAGGTTAGTTTAGAAGCTAGGTTGTAAAGTTTATAACCTTTCTTAGCCAAGGGATATCCCAGAAAAACACAAGGATCAGCTCTAGGTTGAAACTTGTCCTTGTGACACTTAGGATTTGTGGAGAACCACAAGCAACCAAGGTTCTAATATGAGCATATGAAGGGGGTTTCCCAAAGAGTAATTCAAAAGGAGTTTTATTGGCAAGCAACTTGAATGGGAATCTATTAATGAGGTAAGTGGTAGTGAGGACACAATTACCCCAAAATTTAATAGGTAACTTGGATTGAAAAAGTAAAGCTCTAAAGGTTTCCAACAAATGGCTATGCTTTCTTCGACTACCCCATTTTATTGTGGTGTGTGTGGACAAGATGTTTGGTGAATAATGCCATTGTCAACAAAGAATTTGCCAACAAGAGCACCAGACCCAAGTTCAAGAGCATTATCACTTCTAACAGTTTGAATGCAAGTTTGAAATTGTGTTTTGACCATGGCAACAAAAGCTTTAATCAGAGGAAAAGCATTACTTTTAGACCCCATAAGGTGAGTCCAAGTAGCTCTAGTGAAATCATCTACTATAGTCAAAAAATATTTGCACCCATTGTAGGTATGAGTGCTATATGGTCCCCAAGTATCCACATGGACAAGTTGGAAGGGACGAGAAGTTTTGATGGAGCTATTAGGAAAGGGTATTCTAGGTTGTCCAGCTAAGGGACAGATACAACAAGTAAAAGACAGTTTGGAGGAAAATTTGCATGGAATGGATGAAATATCCTTCATTCTGACAAAGGGAATATGCCCAACCTATTATGCCATAAAATCTCCATTTTATTCAAATCAGAGTGGTATGTACAATGATTATCAGTAACAATAGCAGCCAATGGAGAACGGTATTTACAATTGGAAGACATACAAGTAGAAGAACAAGTAGGAAAACTATTACAAGCAGCAGCAAGAACAGTAGACACTACTAGAAAAATGTTATTTTCTGACCGAAATTTGCGATTGAATATATAATGGTCGCTAATGCGACTAAATTTGCGACCGCGGTAGTCGAAGTATAATTTTAATTTTATTATCTATTTTTGTAAAATAATATTGACTGCTATTCCGACTAAAGTAGTGGGAGAACAACGCGAGAAATATCCCTCCTTTACATTTGCGACCAATTCAGTCGCAAAGTAAAAAGTCAAAAAATAGTTGACCAAATGAACTGACTGCGTCGGTCAGAAATATAAAATTTAAACAAAAAAATATATATATATATATATATATATTTGGCACTTTGTGACCGCGGTAGTCGGATACCCAAATTAAAAATTAGAGACCAGATTCCAATTTCCCCAATTTCTTTTTCCTCAATTCAGCGACCTCTCTCTCTCTCTATCTTTTTCCTCTCTACTTTATCTTCCACTGACCATCGACTGACGGAGGCAAATACTGGTTGGAGACGGCGGCAAACGGTAGTTGATGACGGCAGGCATCAGTGCGAAAATCTATAAAGTTCCCTCTTCTCGGTTAGTTCCTCTCTTTCTTATAACCTAGAAACTTTGTGGGTTTAGTCATATAGTAAAATTTCGAATTTCTTAACAAATCATGTCACTTGCATGTGTATATATCAGTTAAAGAAGTAAAAAACATATTGTAATTTTGCTTCCACCATACCTGTGCTTGAAATTCTTTTCAACCGAGCAAAAGAGTATAGCATGTGCCTTTTAATTTCATCGATTCCGTATGAAGTTTTCTTCCTTATTTAAGGTGAACTTTTGAAGCATTATTTCTATGTTTTCTCTTCAACATTAACATACAGAATTAGTGGAATGAATGTGTGAATTTGATTTTGCTTCTTTCAGCCGGCTCTGTACTCGAATTTTCTCTGAATTTCCAGAAAATTCATAGTATCTGTGAGTTAAAAACTTAAAGCTTTTTCTTATCTTGAATATATCGATTAAGCTTATGTTCATACCAATGTTCTGCAAATTAAGAAGAAGCTTCTAGTAACTTCATTGTTGTTGACCTCAACCTGTTGTTTTCTTGGAAACTGATTTCTGAGAATATGTTTATGGAGATGTGTTTAGGATGTATCTCAAAGCGTTTGATCTTATCTCAAAGTGTTTATCTTCACAAACTTGTAGTCGTACTTGAGAAGTAGTAGCTTAGTAGGAGAGCTTTAATTTGGTAGCTGTAGTTTCAGTTATAGAATATAGCTTTGGGTAAATTGTGATGGTATCAGTAATATTTATATATATTTTAGTGTTATGGATTTTAAACTCTATTATAGCAACAAATAAATTTTTAAAAAAAAGACAGAGTGATGCATGGGCCATATGGTGATAGCGGCGGAGCTAATATATATATATATATATATCTTAAGTCATGATCTGTGTCTCCACAAACAATTTTTGATAATTCATTTGCATAGGGAACATATTGTTGATATATAACACATAATGGTTGTTGAAGTCTTGAATATTATAGGATGGCCACAAAATATATTTATGTTGTTGAAAGAACCAATTTTTTTTATAAGTAAATTGTTTGGCATCATACTAAGTAATATATATTATTTTAAATATCTTGGATTTATTTGTGTAGATGGAGCTTGCATATCGTAGATAGATGTATAATCGGACTTATCCTAATCGTAGTGGATTGAGGGAGGAATTTATAGAAGGGGTTGCTGAATTTGTGGCTAAAGCGAAAACACTTCATGAATTTCTCAATGAAGGGATGATTAGGTGCCCTTGTGTCAAATGCAAGGGTGCAAAGTTATTACATCCAGATGTTGTTAAAGTTCATCTTTATAAAAAAGGATTTATGGAAAACTATTACGTGTGGACTATTCATGGAGAGGATGTTGCTAGTGTTGATAACGTCGATTTTTAAAAATTTTTTGGTAGCGAGGGTAGCCCATTAGCAGAGAATAATACTAAAAATTCTCGATTCAGTGAAATGGTTAGGGATGCTTTTGTGATGCACCCGGAGGCTCAGTCTGAACCAAATGAGGATGCTAAGCGCTTCTATGAACAATTACAGGAAGCAAGTCATCCATTGTATGAAGGCTCAATGCATTCTAAGTTGTCTGTCGCAGTTAGATTATTAAGTATTAAATCGGATTCAAGTATTTCTCAAGCGGGAATAGACTCTATCATTTGCCTTATGAATGAACTTAATCCGAATAAAATTGACCTACCCAAAGATTTCTACACAGCAAAGAAATTGGTTTCTAAGTTAGGACTTTCATCAGAGAGGATTGACTGTTGTGAGAAAGGTTGCATGTTATTCTATAAGGATGATGCAGCCTTAGAAAATTGCAAATTTTGTAACCAACCTCGTTACAAAAAAGTCATAAATTCAAAAAGCAAGAAGGTTCCAGTTAAGGCGATGCATTACTTACCCCTTATACCTAGGCTAAAGAGGTTGTATGCATCAATGAGCTCTGCTCCTCATATGAAACGGCACTATGAAAATAGAAGGCCACCTGGTATTCTGTGTCATCCGTCAGATGGAGAAGCATGGAAGCATTTTGATAGGGTGTTTCCGGATTTTGCTAGTGAACCAAGAAACATTAGGTTGGGTTTATGTGCAGACGGATTCACTCCCTTTTCCGTCTCTGCTGCACCATATTCATGTTGGCCAGTTTTTGTTACGCCGTATAATCTTCCTCCTGAGCTGTGTATGACAAGTCCATATTTGTTCCTAACTTGCATTGTTCCAGGTCCGCGCAATCCGAAAAGTTTGATTGATGTATACATGCAACCTTTAATTGACGAGTTAAAGTTATTGTGGCATGAAGGTGTGGAAACATATGATATATCAACTAAACAAAACTTCAGATTGCGTGCTGCTTTGATGTGGACTATAAATGATTTTCCTGCTTATGGAATGTTGTCCGGGTGGTCGACTGTAGGAAAGTTAGCTTGCCCAACTTGTATGGAAGACACAAAAGCATTCACGTTGAAACATGGAGGAAAGAATACATGGTTTGACTGCCACCGTCGATTCTTGCCTATAGATCACGAGTTTAGGAGAAATACTAGTGCATTTATGAAGAACCAAACTGATTTTGAGGAGCCACCGTCACCATTGTCGCCAGAAGAAATTTGGAACAGAGTTAGGTTTCTACCAAAGGTAACAGAGTCTCCAATGTCTAATAAGATACCTGGTTATGGTGTTACGCACAATTGGACTAAACAGAGCATATTTTGGGAGTTACCTTATTGGAAGCATAATCTTCTTCGGCATAATTTGGATGTCATGCATATCGAGAAAAACTTTTTTGACAACTTGTTTAATACAATAATGGATGTCAATAACAAGACAAAAGATAACTTGAAGGCTAGGATGGACTTAAAGGAATATTGTAGGCGAAGTGAGTTATACCTGACATACTTGAACAACAAGATTCAGAAGCCCAAGGCCAGTTACACATTCACTTTGGATGAGAGAAGAGAGATTTGTGATTGGGTTAAGAATTTGAGGATGCCTGATGGATATGCGTCAAACTTATCCAGGTGTGTTGACATGAAAGAAGGGAAGTTGACGTCTATGAAGAGCCATGATTGTCACATTTTCCTCGAATCTTTGATGCCTATTGCATTCAAAGCCTTGCCTGATAGAATATGAAAACCCATTACTGAGATAAGTTTATTTTTCAAGGAGTTGTGTTCTAGCACATTAAAGGTGGAGAACTTAGCTTACATGGAGAGTAACATTTGCTTAACTTTAAACAAGCTGGCGAAAATTTTTCCTCTTGGGTTTTTTGTTGATCGGCTTAAAACTCTCCTTTATAAAGCTCGAGAGAAGAGCGAGAAGCCCGGTTGGATGCTAAAAGACTTTTGGGATAGACTTATTGTGATATGGGCTTCTGAAGAATTTAAGAAGAGGAGCAATGCTGCAAAGGCTGCCCGAGCCTCCAATACGGGTGGCTCATTGCACACTGGGGGTTCAATTAGTATGGAGACCCATCGAAGGAGAATGGTAACTTTCTTATTATATTTGTTTTGATTTTAACTAGATGCAATTGAACTTTATCTAACTTAATTTTTTTTTTGCAGGAAAAGGAAAAAGGGAGAGTTGTGACTTATGCTGAGGTCTTTGAGGACAAGCATTTGAAAAAGAAAAAGGATGGGACAACAGAATGGGTCGAGCTGCGTGCTGCAAGAGTATATGTAAGATCCTTCTATTTCCTTTTTGTCTCTTCTTCTTTCTTCTTCTACTTCTTTGAAGTGCTTAAAATTAAAGACAATGGAGATAGATTATTAAATTCAGAGTTAAAAGTTCTGTCTACCTGATAAACAATCGACACATAATCAATAGCCAGGATTACAAATGAGGATCTGGGGGGAATCATCTCCGGTTGCTCAAACTTACAAATCTGTAAGCCTGGGTAGTGCCAAGCCTGCTCGAAGCTAAGGCACGGCTCAAGGGACCACAAAATAAGAGAATATTAATGTTATATATGTTTCCAATGATAATAGCTTCTGTAACGAGTAGAGAAGAAGGCAATAGTCAGTAGGTAAAGATATGGTATTGTTGACGTGGAGTAGTACACGCCATAACCAATTGAAAAATAAGAACACGACAGATTGATTATTATTTTATTGTACGAGGTGAGAAGAATGGCTGGTGAAATAGTAGATGATCCACAAACATCATTATTGGCTGAGAGAAATGGAATCTTGAATTTTGTTATAGATTTTAATTTCTATCTGACTTGGTTTTTCTGATTTGGGTATGGTTCATTTGTGTAGTTCTATACTCTGATGATATTATTGGGAAAAAGGGAACAAAATGGAGTGCGGCGGCGCATATAATAACAGGGGTTATAGGGGCAGGGGTGTTATCACTCACTTTGCAATTAGTACTAGTTCTTACTTCTCATTCTGGAACTAAGAGTGAATTGAATTATTTTGTAAACAGAATTTTAATTGAGTAAAAATTGACTTTTCAACATGAGTATGGACTATCATTGCTACTTTAAACATTATTTGATCTGTGAATAGATACTGTAATTTACTAAGGACCAACAAAATGCTTTGCCAGAACACTTTGTTATAGTCGTCAGTAAGCCTGGGTAGTGCCAAGCCTGCTCGAAGCAAGGTTAAGATCGTTTGCATTTAGCCCTTCATTCAAAAGTTTAACGAGGCTCAAAAGATTTTATGAATGCAACTGTGAGCATATTCAGGTACTCTGTTTGGATAGCTGATGGACTACTTGATAATGGAATCTTGATACAAGTCCTAAGTTCTTTCGTGTTTCCGGCTTAAACTTTTGTTAAGTAGAGCGCCGGAGTATGGAGGTTGCTACCATGTTAAAACTAGGGTGGAAAATCTGTTCTTAGTTTTGGACTGGTTGAGTATTCCAAATGAGAGGATGAAAGTGCTTAGTTTGGTTGGAAAAATCTGTGCAAATATTGTGTTTACATTTTCTTGGTTTACTTACATAGATAGATTAGTTAGTGTGTACAGATTAGACCTCTATATACTACTTATCTGTGACAATGGATTGAACTTAGTATATATATATATATTTTTTTTAAAAGACTTTCATCTATACTTTATATATCTAGAGCTGGAAATAAATGAATCAAGTATAGCTGCCAACTTCAATGTACATCCTATATGTACTAGTAAACGAATTTTGAAGCTATCCAAACAGAGTACCAAAAGTTTCAAGAATAATCTTTGAGTTTTAAGCCCCTTGCAAGCTAATTCCAGTGTCTGTAAGTACTCTTTTTGGTGTAGAATTTCAGCGCCATAATTTGCTCTAAAAAGCATGGCATTGAAACGAGTAAAGGCGGATGGAACAACTTTGAGGATATGGAAGAGGAAAGATTCAGCATCAGCAAGCCTTGTAGGGTCTCCTTCAAATGCAAGAATTTCTAATTCTTCTTCTTTTGTTGGGGATATTCTGCCCAGTTTCTCTAGAGTTTCTATCCAGTTTTTACCTTGCACCATTTCCTTGTTTATGTGTGTGTTTGTACTTTTATAGATACATGCTTCATCAGAAAACTGTAAA